CCAACCAACCAACCAACCCACCGACCAACCAACCAACCAACCAACCAACCTACCTACCTACCTACCTACCTACCTACCTACCTACCTACGTGCATACATACATGCGTACGTACATACATACATACATACATACATACATACATACATACATAAATACATAAATACATACATACACATACACACACACACACAAGCACACACGCACACACGCATGTACACACATACATACATAAACACATACAAGCTGTTTTATGTGTTACTTGTTTTTGCTCGTTGATGTATTGACGTTCTGGTTGATCTATAGTCTATAATTGCACTTGACTAGTCCAATGAACGAGCAAATCAACAAATAAACAACAACTAAATATATAAGTACACAAACAACTGAGTAGATAATTGAACAATGAAGAGAGACGGCGAGATTGAGAGAGAGGGCGAGAGGCGTCTGCTCATTTCACAAAAACGCATGTATTTGCTTACATAAAGGCAGAAGGATTATCTTAGGATTAGGGCTGAGGGCGAGTATGCCCGGGACTTATGTCAGAAGCAACCCAGACCATGGAACCTTGCAACAAAGCTTTCGTGCATCACATGTGACTGTTGCCCGAAGGTGCCGGAAGTGAAATCATTTCCAGAACGTACTCGGGTCATAAGGGTTGTGCTAACTAGTATTGGTATTCCTGCGGGTTCCTGATCATAACTGCAGAGATATGTCGGCAAAACCCTATTCCAACCTGAAGGCCCCTACAATTCTGTGCTCCTGGCTCCTGACCCTTCAAAACCCAAAGCATGAGGCTTTCGAGCCTTTCAGGTGTCTCTAGGAGCCAAGAAACACTTAAACCCTAAACCCAAACCCTAAACCCCAAACTTTAAACTCCAAGCCCTAAACCCCAAAGTTTAAACCCGAACCCTGAAAACCATTATGAGAAATGAGAACCCTCTCAGCTGAACAAAAGGATTTCAGGATTTAGGCTTTGGGGCCGGGGCCCGGCTTTTCAGGGTTCCTTTATAGGCCTGCATCTACCGCAAAACTAGGACACTTTTGTTTGAGTGCTTTATTGGGCTCCAAGCCTTGAAATGAAAAAACCCTCAGCAAAGGCATAATCCCAAGGCGGTCGTTCAGCCACTCTGCGAACATCAGCTCCTTGCATATGAGCTTGGGACACAGATCCTTTAAATGTAGGTTAGACTCTTGAGCCTTGCGGCCAGGGGAAACAGGGTTTACAAGCGCAAGATCCAGCACTCAAGGAACGAATGAGCAACCTGCGGCTTTAACCACACAAATATCGTAGGGTTTAGGGTTTAGGGCTGAGGGTTTGAAACAAAAAGACTTCACAATGTCCGTCGACGGCCTGACACGACGGAGAGAAGCTAGAACACCTTGACACAGGTGCCAATTCTGAAGCCATCCGAAGCTGTTGACCACGACAAGAACGCAAACACCTATCCCTGAACCTTAAAAACCCTAAACCCTAAACTTCAAAAACTTCTAAAGCCTGGCCTGGTGCACGACAGAAGTCAGGTTCATTATACCGGTTCCCTAAGGGTCCATATATACTACCGTCATAAGGGCCTTAAGGATTAGATTGGGTGCTGGAGTACATTGTAATATAGACATAAAAATGAACCCTAACCCAAAGGGCGCACATATACACCATTATGGAATGAGTTCCCCAATGACCCTCCATATTATGGTGTTGGGTAGTAGCATGTATGGCCCCTGTGGGTTGGATCTGTGACTAGGCTGCAATAACATGTTGAACTCTCGCTTTGTGCATTCTAGCAAAGGAAAACATGTTGCATGGAAAAGAGCTGATAACTGTGAGACTATGTATCTGTGCGTCTGTCTGTGTGAACAGCTGTATACGTGGATAGATCTGTCTGCCGCTCCTTGTGTGCATGCACATGCACAGACTTCCACAGGATAAAGATTCGCACCTCGGCCTGGAACCAAAGTTGTATGTTTACTGGTCCTGCTTCACCCAGGGGGTCAACACTTCTATCTCGTAGTTGTACATATAGCCAACGAGCTGTTCTGCATTTAAACCATAAACCCTAAACCCTAAACCCTAAACCCTAGACCCTCAACCCTAAATCCTAAACACTAGACCCTAAAGCCTAAACCCTAAATCCTAAACCCAATGTAGGCACCTCACGAGGATGCCTAAGGCCCGAACCCACAGTTCAGCGCCCTCGGCCGCCTGCGGTAAGAGGAGGCCAGCGGCTAGCTGAGGACTTGAGGTAATATAGGGGCCTTAAAGGGTTCCTTAAAGGGGTTCTATAAGGGCTACTATAAGGGTTTAGGGTTTAGGGGCCTTAATAATTAGAATAGGGTTTTGGGGCCCATTATGCTATAGTTACAATAAGTTTGGGGACTTGAGGTAGGCTGAGGGTGCTTGGAACCATGACTTCGAGGGCTTTAGGACTTTAGGCTTCCTGGTTTCGGGCTCGTGGCTGTAGAGGGTTTAAGTGTTTAGGGTTTAAAGGTTTACGGGCTTAGGGCTTCGGTCTTGGAGTCTTAGGGTGGTTGGGGCAGTCAGGAGAGCTAGGGTCGCGAGGGTAGTTAGGGTGGCTAGAGTAGCTAGGGGGTGGTTGAGGTAGTTAGGATAGCTAGGGAGCTAGGGTAGTTAGGGAAGCTCGGGCTCAGGGTTTAGGGTAGTTCGGGCAGTTGGGGTAGTGAACGTAGTTGGGGCAGTTGTGGTAGCTACATAGGGTAGTCAGGGCACTCAGGGTAGTTGGGCAGTTGCCGTGGTTGGGGTAGCTGGGATAGTTCGGGTAGTTCGGGCAGAGCGTAGACGGTTCAGCGTTCAGGGCTTGTCCCCCCATGTTTAAGTGCCCTAGGCTCTGTGGTGTGCCAAAGGGTCCTAAGCACCTATACGGTGGACCCACCATAGAATAGAATGTGTAATCCGAGTTACTAGTATGCTTTGTGAAAGTATATACCCCCAGGACAGTGTCTAGGACCCTTTTGGGTGTTCAGCCGAGGTTCAAATCTTGCATTTCGCAGTAGGGCCAAGCTGGTTCAAGGTGTAGGCTCAGAGCTGTAGGATTCTAGGGTTCAGGAACCCTAAACCCTAAACCCTAAACCCTAAACCCTAACCCTAAACCCTAAACTCCCCCAACCCTAAACCCTAAATTGGGAGGCTTTAGGCCTTTAAGGCTAAGGTTAAGCGGCGAGGATCTGAAGT